GGGGGGGTTCTTGTAGAGTGGTGTGGTTTGGGCGTGTGGGAGGGAGGGGATGGTAGGGTGCTAAGAAGCTTGCTCAATATTTTGTATCTTTGTTGCTTTTTCGATGCTAGTCGTCGTCTTTTTTTTCTAGTTCGGCAAATGTTCTTCCAGGCGCTGTTCTGGTAATATCCCGCTACTTTGCGATTAATCATGTCTGTTCTTCACCGTCTGTCTGGCCATGTAATGTAACTAATATTGACTTGGCCATCTTTGGGTCGGTGTATTTTCCTCTCCAGAAACTAGCCAGAACTCAAGCTTTCACGTATAAGGTATTTATAAGACATTTTTTTTAAACATACAGCAGGAAGTCGATGGTCATCTGAATGTGGTCTGCTCGTTTTACTTCATACAGCTCTTATGTGTCTTGTTTTCCCTTAACTCCGCTTCCTAAGTGATCTAAATTGTGTGGATGGGGGGATGAAACTTTTTTTTTTTACTGAGTTGCTCCTATCATCATGCTCACTGCCGTTAACTGCAACTCATCTATAACGGGTCAAAGACGGAACACTCTCTGAGTGCCATTAGTTTAGTTGGCATCATGATGGACTATAGGACGGGAAAACGTTGTTCGATTCATGAATTGGGCGTTCTTGAGCTTGAGTTATTTGGCAGCTTTCTTTTCTCTCCTCTTTGTTTTGGTTTGTCAGAGATTGCCAACACATTCGCTAGACCTGTTCTTTGACCTAAAGTGTCAATAGGGGCGTTAAACCCATATCTGCCCTGGTCCGAGGTGTAGCGGTTAGGCGTTTAGCTGTCAAACGCAGAAGATGTAAGTTTGATTCCCGATATGTGCTAGGCCAAGGATTTCTATCTCTCTCAGCACGGACTGATCCTGACAGACATGGTCAAAACAGCCCTCTTTCTAAATAATCTAAATTTGTGGCGGTGGGTGGCATGAAACACCTGAAAATACAAAGACAATAAATCGATATTAACCTCTCTATTGGAGCACCCGACCATCCTTTAGGACACACATTCTAGAGGAAAAACTCTTCAGGGGGAGTAAGAACAACTTGGTTCCCCACTCTGATTCCAGTCGTAACCTTTGCCAAACTGGCTTCTATGTCCACAACCATAATCGAGAGTAGAATTTTCACCACTCCCAGATTATTTTTTTCTGCTCGTTTTCAATCAAATAGGCTGGTAGCACGAGCCATATCCTTAATTACAGGTAAGTCTGACAAGTATGGTACCAGACTGAAACAACAACGGCATGTATGGCAAGACCATCGACAATTGCAGCTGTGGATAGCTTGATTGGGATTGACGTAAATAGTCACAAATGCATAATCGTCAATGTGTGCAAGACTGGCCGAGAGAAGTCAAGGGAAATCGTACAAAAGCAAGTGACGTATTCATATGAGTACGCTAAAACCATAAATTTACCCACAATGCAGTACTAAATGAGGTCTTCAGCATTTGGCCAGCAATTTTACATCCTATAAATCTGTTAAGTATAATTTATAAGTGGGCCTGGGTTCTCAAAATGGTGTCTAGGGGACAGGCTGATCGATTTTACGCAGTTACATCGATGTCGGTATCCTAAACTCTAGAGATGTTCTGACACATGCGCTCACGGGGGGTCACATTGGTGCTTCCGATTCTTGACCCAATTTCTCTAGCTACCCTGAGTTCTTCCCTCCTGTAGTCTCTAAAATTCCCTCTGGGAAATATAGCTGCACTGCTAATAGTTTTGTAGCTCATTGATTATTCCCCCACACCCCGGTCTCTCTGTCTCGGACGGTCTCTGTCTCTGGCTGTTTCTCTGTCTGTCTGTCTGTCTGTCTGTCTC